AATCTATATATTTAACCAATCGTATGATTTTTTGATATTCTTTTTATTGTACATAAGCTTTTTATAAATTTATCAGAGGGTCGGATACATCAAATTTATGTTCTACACCTAAATTGAAGGCATTTTTTAAATTTTAAATTTTATCTCCTTCATCTTCTAAAGTACAACCTAATTATCAATAAATGAATACCTAAAATATTGTAGGCTTGAAATTTATATTCTATAGAAATTTTTTTAATATTAACGATCCATTTACAAACCTCCTCTCTTTATGATTAATATAATTCATTTATTTTACTTAAAAGAATATAAGCGCCTTCATTCTCAATATTTAGCCTTTCAATTTTTTTTAATGCCAAAGGAATGCTCTTCTGTTATAAAATATTTATTGCTTATTGCATAATAAAAATAATAATTTACATCTGAAATCTAATTAGGTAAATAGAATTATGAAAAAGTATTCTACTTAATTATTTTTGCAAAAATAGATCAGGATCAAATAAAAAGAATTAGTGATAAATACTTATACCTCCTTTGATCATTAATTAAACTGTAATTTAAATTTTTTTTACATTATAATTATTTAATTAAAATTTCTTCAATAATTCAATTTATTCTAGTACAATTAATTTACCAATCAGTTTAATAATTTAAAATTGATTTATGGATAATAAAAGTTATTTTATTTCTATTAACAACAATTGGATGAAACAATGAAATAAAATATATTAGAATTAGTTAATAGTAATTTAAGTTGAATTTTTTTTTCTAACAATGCTTTTAATTTCATCTTATCAGATTATATTAAATACGGATTTTTTTTAAAGATGTTTTTATCTTTATTAAAACAGCTTTAAAATTTGATAAGTAAACGCGTAGTAGAATTGGGACAAAAAGGTAGAATAGTTTAAATATAACTTAGATGATAACCTTGATTTCATATATTAGTTTAATTAACTTTCGATTAAAAAAAAGAGAAATTTACTTTATAATAAATTTTTTTTACTTTCAATCTAGTTAGAATAATTAATTCAATTCTAATAAATTTGAAAAAATAGATTTTCCAAAATTAAAAAATTTGCACTTCTATAGACAATATTAATTGCGATGAGATAATTTAATTATCCTATTAGTAATGATATTAATATTTTATTTTAAAAATAAGACATTGAACATATAAAAATATATATAAAAAAACTGACTTCAACCTAGTATTAATAATTTAATATTTAGAATTTTTTAGATTAATTGATATTTCTTATATGAAATTTAATAATTCATATAAAAAATAAGAATTAACGTATTTTTTTAAATTAATTTTATGTTGTATTTGATTTACTTAAAATAGTAGATGTTTATACTTTCAGATATATTTATTTATCTAAGAATAATAAAAGAATTACCCAGTAAAGTTAAAAATTTCATAATTTTCGTTCGTAGAATGATTATTTCTACTATGGAGCTCTAAAATTATATCATAAATATTATTAGAAATATAAGATAAAAAAATTCCTGCAAATAAATTCTCAGTTTCAAATAATTTTACTTAGTACTATTATTGCAGCCAAAAATAAATAAGGTAAAAATTAGTATTTTTCAATCTTTATGAATAGTCAATTTAGAATTCATTTAGATATTTTGGATAATCTAATGTTTGATATTTTGAATATTCAACTACATTATCTATATTATATTATCTAATTTTAAAGAAAAAATTTTGATCTCAAATCAGAAGAGTATAGGATTTATTAATTAGATTAAATACTTATATATTATTTATCTAGAGTTATGTTAAGATAATTAAACTAATTAAGGTGGGTTTTACAAACATGCATTAGCTTGGAGAATTTCTTATTAAAGAATTTAAAATCCAGTTTTATTCAATTATACGCATGCAATCATCAGCTGGTGAATCATTTCCATCATCACATTACTCTTATTCCTAAACTAATCCATCTTCAAAATTACACATTATTCACATTCATTGGAATCTTGCCTTTTGAAATCTAAACTTAATGATCCACAATTAGAATTATAACTATTCTTAGTAAAATTCATAACCATCAGACAATTTGAACCTAATCTATGAAAAATATATTAAGAAAATACTTTCATAAATCACTATTGTGCTCTGAACTGGCTTTAATTTAATAACCAATTAAATTGATCAACACTTATTTAATTCTTACATCATCATTGTATATTGATTTTGGGACTTCCTAATCGTATTCCAACTTAAAGGCAATTTAATTTTCCTTTTCTTTTCTTCTAATCTAAATAAATCAAATATTTATAAAATGAGTAATTCTAACTAAAATTTATTTTTTATAACCTAAATTTACTTGTTTTGATTTATACAACCTCTTTTATGTTTATTCTCTTAGGTATTGTTAATAAAACCTAATAAATTTCAAGTAATAATGTCTTTATGTGTATTCCATTTAAAACCATAATAATAAAGGATTATGAC